TTATATATAAAAATATATATGGGAACACATGCTTTTTTACAGTAACCTAAAGAAATTTTTGTTTGATTGTGTTGTTGCACTCTATCGCCCAGGCGTGAGCCACCACGCCCAGCCCTGAAGAAGTTTTAAGGACCAAGAATGTTCAAAAGGATTAAAGTTTGAAGGATCAGGTTTAAAATAGGTTGACTAATTGAGGGGAAGGGGAAGGAGAAAATATGTAGTAACAACATTAGCAATACTTTCAGGGGTTTCCAAGGTTAGACATTTATGAAGGTTTTACAAAACAGAAAAACGTCATGGAACGCTGTCTGAGCCTCAAGCAACTACAGATTGTCTGTTTTTAATACTCTGTTTTTTAGAGAAATTTTAGGTACAAAGGAAATTTGAGTGGAAAGTACAAATTGTTCTTCAAATGAGCAATTACCTCTAAGATGAGATTAAGGTTTGTAGTGAGAGCCTGAACACGCTGAAAACCAGCAATCAGGGAAATAGGCAAGAAACCTTGTTCATCCATCTTTCCCCGAAGAAAGAAGTCTCGTTCCAAATTTTCTACACTGAAGTAATATTCACTGAAAAGAGAAATTAGAATTTCATCCATTTATTCAGTAGAAAATAAATATTTCTATTGCTCGCACACTAACTGTGAAAACCAATCATTAACATGAAAATATTGTAATTTGGCTAACAATATGTATAGGTCTAATACAACATAGATAGGGTAAACATATAAGATAGCAAAAAACCCTACTGAATTAATTTCTCTTATACTTAAAATACTGATTTTCCAAAAAATTAATAGCTTCTATTTAGATCAGCTTCACTAAATATAAAGAATTAAGCTGCTCATTTTACTTTAAGATAGTTCAATAATTGATTTTAATGAGTTAATTAGATGAAAATCTTTACAAAGCCACTTCTACTTGCTTCATTTAAGTATTAGATAACAAAGCTAATCACATGTTAGCATAATGCCTGCCAATTTTTTCCCAGTCACTGAGAAGAATGGTATACTGGAAGTATCCTTTGTCAAATTCGCATACAGAAAAGTAGTTCGTTTTGTTTTCTAAATTGACAAAGTACTGACATGTTTAACACTTCTGAAGCCTAGTAACCAGCACAACGCTTAGTTAAAAACTTAGTGAACATGGCCAGGCGGGGTAGCTCATGACTGTAATCCCAGCACTTGGGGAGGCTGAGACGGGCAGATCACCTGAGGTCGGGAGTTCAAGACCAGCCTGACCAACATGGAGAAAACCTGTCTCCACTAAAAATACAAAATTAGCCGGGTGTGGTAGTACATGCCTGTAATCCCAGCTACTCAGGAAGCTGAGGCGGGAGAATCCCTTGAACCCGGGAGGCAAATGTTGCAGTGAGCCAAGATCATGCCATTGCACTCAAGCCGGGGCAACAAGAGCAAAACTCCGTCTCAAAAAAAAAACACTTAGTGAACACACAGGCATATGTGCACATATATATTTTGAATGATTCAAGTCCTCCATGCTTCTTTCTTTGATAGACGGACTATAAGATATTAAGGGTGGCCCGGTGAGGTGGCTCATGCCTGTAATCCCAGCACCTTCAGAGGCCAAGGCAGGTGGATCGCTTGAGGTCAGGAGTTTAAGACCAGCCTAACCAATATGGGGAAACCCCATCTCTACTAAAATACAAAAACTAGCTGGCCATGGTGGCAGGTGCCTGTAATCCCAGCTACTCGGGAGGCTGAGGCAGGAGAACTGATTGCACCCGGGAGGCAGAGGTTGCAGTGAACAGGGACCGTGCCACTATACTCCAGCCCGGGCGACAGAGCAAGACTGTCTAAAAATAATAATAAAAGACATTAGCTGGCCGTGGTGGCTCACGCCTATAATCCCAGCACTTTGGGAGGCTGAGGCGGGCAGATCACAAGGTCAGGAGATCAAGACCATCCTTGGCTAATACAGTGAAACTCCGTCTCTACTAAAAATACAAAACACTAGCCGGGCGTGGTGGTGGGAGCCTGTAGTCCCAGCTACTCGGGAGGCTGAGGCAGGAGAATGGCATGAACCTGGGAGGCAGAGCTTGCAGTGAGCCGAGATTACACCACTGCACTCTAGCCTGGGCAACAGAGCCAGACTCCATCTCAAAAAACAAAAAAAAAAAAACAGAAAAAACATTAAGGTATCACAGAATACAGCTAAAGAAGGAATATCCTTGACACCATGAGGCACATGGAGGCAAAAATATAGAAAATGATTAGATGTCTTATCTTCTCTTGAAAAACACAAACCGGTGGGGTGTGGTGGCTCAAGCCTGTAATCCCAGCACTTTGGGAGGCCGAGACGGGCGGATCACGAGGTCAGGAGATCGAGACCATCCTGGCTAACACGGTGAAACCCCGTCTCTACTAAAAAATACAAAAAAACTAGCCGGGCAAGGTGGCGGGCGCCTGTAGTCCCAGCTACTCGGGAGGCTGAGGCAGGAGAATGGCATAAACCAGGGAGGCAGAGCTTGCAGTGAGCCGAGATCTGGCCACTGCACTCCAGCCTGGGCAACAGAGTGAGACTCCATCTCAAAAAAAAAAGAGAAAGAAAAACACAAACCCACTTAACCTTTCTGAAAGAAGTATAAATGGATGAACATCAATGATGATGGGGCCTACAGTTTAATAATCCCACACTATTTCCAAATCACAGAGAAAGTTTTCAAAGATGGTGTACAAGTTATGGGAAAACAAACCAGCTCACATTCTGGGGTATAAAACTCAGTGACTAAAGATGCCCTTGAAGTATACGGACCAAATTCTATCTTTGAAAAAAAGGCATCATAACTGAAAACTGGTTTTCAGCTATCTTTTACACAAGGGGAAGAAAATAAATCAACTTATTTTAAGAATGTAAATATCCAAATTTTCCTTTAATAGTTTGACATTTATCCAATTGTCAGAGTGCAAAACTCTCTCAAAGACTACTGAAATACTACTGACATCTCAGTAACACTAGTAAATCATTTACTCTTTTTTTTTGAGATGGAGTTTCACTCTTATTGCCCAGGCTGGAGTGCAATGGCATGATCTCGACTCACTGCAGCCTCCAACTCACAGGTTCAAGCAATTCTCCTGCCTCACTCTCCTGAGTAGCTGGGACTACAGGCGTGTGCCACCTTGCCCGGCTAATTTTTGTATTCTTAGTAGAGACAGGGTTTCACTATGTTGGCTAGCCTGGTCTCGAACTCCTGACCTCAGATGATCCACTTGTCTTGACCTCCCAAAGTGCTGGGATTACAGGAGTGAGCCACCTCGTCCTGGCCTCATTTACTCTTTTTAAACACTGAAGGAAAAAATCTAAGTCTTAAAGAAATGAATATTCTGATGGTTGTTACGCCTCAAAAGCCTTATTCATAATGTCTGGCATGTGGTAGATACATAATACATGTGTTAAAATTCTAAAATTTCATGCAGGGCGCGGTGGCTCATGCCTGTCATTTCTACATGTTGGGAGGCCATGGCAGGCGGATCACCTGAGGTCAAGAATCCGAGACCAGCCTGACCAACATGGTGAAACCCCAACTTTACTAAACATACAAAATTAGTCGGGCATGGTGTTGCATGCCTGTAATCCCAGCTACTTGGGAGGCTGAGGCAGGAGAATCGCTTGGATCTTGGAGGCGGAGGTTGCAGTGAGCCGAGATTGCACCATTGCATTCCAGCCTGGTTGACAACAGCAAAACTCCATCTCAAAAGAAAAAAAAAAATTCGAAAATTTCAGACATTAAGACATTTGATTTAGTCACAAGTTACAACTGGTCTTAGCTGTGAGATGTGAACTTCCCTAAATCAATAATAAACTGTCCCGGCCAGGCATGGTGGCTCACGCCTATAATCCCAGAACTTTGGGAGGCTGAGATGGGTGGATCACTTTGAGCTCAGGCATCCAAGACCAGCCGGGGGAACATGGCAAAACCCTGTCTATAATAAAAATACAAAAATTAGCTGGGCACAGTGTCACGCGCCCGTAATCCCAGCTATTCGAGAGGCTAAGGCAGGAGAATTGCTTGAACCCAGGAGGCGGAGGTTGAGGTGAGCTGAGATTGCACTGCTGTACTCCATCCTGGGTGACAGAGTGAGACAATGCCTCAAAAAAAAAAAAAAAAGAAAAAAGAAAAAAGGAACAAATCTGTCATCTCTCAGTGCCAAAAGAGATTATCACAGCTAGAAATAATCAAGATCTTTACATTTTAATGCTGATATCACAAACAATTAATATAAATCTTCACTTAAAATGTTAAAAACAAGTAGGCCAGGCACGGTGGCTCACGCCTGTAATCCCAGCACTTTGGGAGGCCGAGGAGGGCAGATCACAAGGTCAGGAGTTCGAGACCAGCCTGACCAGAAAGATGAAACCCCGTCTCTACTAAAAATACAAAAATTAGCTGGGCGTGGTGGCATATGCCTGTAATCACAGCTACTCGGGAGGCTGAGGCAGGAGAATCACTTGAACCCAGGAGGCGGACGTTGCAGTGAGCCGAGATCGTGCCATTGCACTCCAGCCTGTACAATAAGAGCAAAACTTCGTCTCAAAAAAAAAGTTTAAGAAAAAGACCTTCAACCATTTTGAATACTTTTAGGCCTCATACTTTACAATTCATTTTGCATCATTTTTCCACAGGTGTCAGGAAAACTTTTGGTGACTTCTCAAAAAGAAAATCAAAATCTTAATCAATCAGCCTATCTATATATTAGAAACCAAATAATACAAGGTAAAAAGCACGACTCCTTCAAAGCCAGATCTCCACTAATCAAATAATGGTAATAATAACAAGCCACACTAAACCTAGTGCTCTACTAACATTTGCCAAAATCCCTACTGCTAGATCAACCAAAAAAAGAGGCATGACCAATGCCATGTCTGACATTTTGCTCAGTGTCCTAGGGACATCATCAAGTCCTACCTTAGAGGTTCTGGATTCTACACTGCATGATCAGAAATTTTGTCAACACTGAAGTAGCTCTGCTCCTCCCTCACTTGTATGAGCACTGGAGGCCGATTATCCTGACGTGGAGTTGCATGTCCACTGTCAGGTCTCAGAAGGGGCTTGGCAGCAAAAGTTACAAAAAAGACAGTAATAGTGGTATGAAGTTGACAGCCACATGTCAAGCACTTTCTGCCCATAAAAAGGCCCTTTTCTTCAGTGTTTGCATCAACTGTAACAAAAGAAGCAAGAACAAAATAAACAAGTTGCTCCACACTGTAAGCAAATTGGATCCACCATGAAGGCAACCCAGGAAGGTGCCTGGCTGATGATGATAAAGAAATTTTCTAGTAACAGAGTAGAGTCTATTTTATTTTGGAAAAATAGATGATTCTAAAATGCTTATGCCCTTTCAAAAATAGCCCTTTTCCTTCACCTTGTAAGGAGAGAAAAATTTCAAGTTTTAACAAATTGGTTGTGCAAACTGCTTGGCAACATTTTTCTCTTGCCTATAAATAAGCAAAATATCCTATACAATACTAATATGCATAGGGTTTGTTTTTCCTTTCAGAAAATAGAACTGATATTCTCCTGACTTCACATTCAGTACCCAAAAAGCAAC